CTGTGCCTTTAACGCACTGGACCACGTGCAGATTGGCTTGAACCTTTACATTTTCCTTTAGCTTCATTTGAAAAAAAAAAAAGGGAACGCCCGCAGAGCTGCATAATGAAGCATATATATCATCATATATATATATAATATCATCATATAATATCAACATATATATGATGCCTACTCTCACCGCAAATAATATTAAGATATGATGCATGTTTTTGTTATGGGAAAAATGAGAAAAATGTGTATTGATCTCGGATTCTAATAAAAAAAATAGTCTCAATTTAAAAAATATCGCTCTCTAATGAATATTTAAAAAATCAATTAATTTAATATTTTATTGATATAAATCATATATATTAATTTTTAAATTGGTCTAACATCTATAATCATGGACAAATCAAAAGTTAATAAATAATAGTTGTTTTGAAATAGAAGTATATATTTAAGAATGATAAATTTTCTATAATCAATGAACTAGTTATATATATTAAATTGGAGGAAAAAAAAAATATATATATATATATACATATTCAATCAATTCAAAAAAAAAATATAGATGGTTTTTAAGAATAAAATACTAAATTTAACTGTTTTTTTTTTTTTAATATTCATTACAAAATGACATTTGTAAAGTTGAAACTCTAATTTTTTTAGAGATCGTAACTAACATGAGTTTCTTATAATTAATTTCCTAATTAGAAGTGTTTAACAGAAATGGATAAAATCATAAAATCGGGAAAAAAATAACAGCATGCATCTAAATTATAGATTTGATCTATAATAAAGACTATTTTAAGAAAAATGACAAATAAATAAAACACTATATATGAAATAATAGTACTTACCGTCACCGACGAATCGACTCGCAGAAGCAGAAGAGAGGAAGAAAAGTTAGACGTAAGAAAAACAAAAATGCAAGACAAGATATATAAATTATTGTATGTTAAGATGCTGAACAGGATGAAGACCAAAACGCTATGATTCGGAACTGTTTGCCTCTCTCACAAAGAAACGCATATACAATCATACAAGCATATCTTGGCCATATAAAGATAAAGTGGAAGTGTAACTGTAAAGAGCAGGAAGTTATTATTAGGACAAGATTCTAATTCCATCGAACTTTAATATGGGATTTGGTCCGGCAGGAAGGAAGTTTTATTTAAGAGAATGATGCTTTGAGTGCAGTATCAGCATTGTGGCCCTTGGATGAGTGAGACTTACTTTTGGATTTTAATTGTTCATGAATCTCTCACTGATCTAACGGTTTAGATTTTGTAGTTGGTGCAAGTTTAATTGTAAAACCATTTCCGAATATCTAATGAACTAGCTAGTTTTAGCTGATGCATTTGGGAACAACTAGCACGGGGCATGCGCAAAGTAAAAACTCATTTTTTTTAATTTTTAGGAGACCCAAAAATGAAAAGGAATACACCCTTATTAGCATTTAGGGTTATCTATTCAGTTTTCAGCCAATAATTTTAAAGAAAATTAATACTACCAGTTAGTATCAGGGTTGACATGATCTAATTAACTTATTCCTATCCACTGGTATTAATTCATCTAGAGGTCTAAGTAATTATAACACCTTTACTATACAAGAAAAGGTACATGACAACTGAAAGGAAAATGCATGAATTTAATTTAATAGTTCCATTCTTAACTAGTAGGAGTTATAAAATAACTAATTAGTTGAGATTTCAATGTCACTTTTCAATTCTATCAAATCTATTTTTGGAATGGGAAAACTAATGCATTTCCATTAAATTGAATAAAAATAAAGCATTTCTAAAAGTACAATGAATGGAAAGAAGTGATAGACAAACAGAGACCAAAACATACAAAAATCAAACTATGTACCAAAAAAAAAAAAAAAATCACACAAAAAAGAATCAAACTATGTATTTCGAAATTCATCAATTCCGGCCCTGTTGCATCTGCCTGATTTTTCTTATTCTGTAAAACGGAAATGCTCCTTCCGCATCCAAATGAGACATACACAGCCAGATGAAGGTGAGCAGTTCTCCACCCTTACTTGGTTGTTGTGCATGCACATTTGGCTTACAATTAGCCGCAGCATAACAGATTAGTTCCACCCAAACATTCCTTGCTATTTGGGGAGAAGAAAACATTCCTTGCTATTTGGTTAATGTCTATTTCTCATTTGATCTGGTAAATAAAAGAATTTTATGGGAGAATCTATCAAACCTCATTTGTTCCAACAAAGGAAACTGGTGTATAGCTGGGGATTTTAATGCCATTAGAAATCTTCAAGAAAGGAAAGGAGGTATTAGTGTAAGGAGGGAGCTTAGGGAGTTTAATGAGTTTATTGAGTTGTGTGGGTTGGTGGACCTTCCACTGATAGGGAGAAAATTCACTTGGTATCAACCGAATGGTAATTGCATGAGCTACTTGGACAGATTCTTATTCTCGGAGGAATGGTTGCTTAACTGGACAGAGCTGAAGCAATGGGGGTTACCTAGAACACTGTTAGATCATTGTCCAATTTTGGTAAAGGATGAAACACGCAATTGGGGCCCAAAACCCTTTAAATTTTTTAATGTGTGGCTGCAAGACCATGTGTTTAGAGAAATGATAGAGAAACAATGGAACAGTTTTAACATCCAAGGCTGGGGGGGTTATGTGCTGAAAGAGAAGCTGAAATTATTGAAAAACAGTATGAAGGAATGGACAAGGAGCTATGTGCAGGAGGTGGACAAGCAAATTGAGGAAGCAAAAGATAATATAGCCAAACTTGATTGTAAAGGGGAACTACAGCAGCTCACTGAGGAGGAAAGCTCTCTTAAGAGAGATCTATTGCTAAATCTATGGGAAAACACTCAAAAAAAAGAAGAAATGGCAAGACAAAAATCAAGGATGATGTGGATGAAAGAATGGGATGCAAATACAAGCTTCTTCCACCGATGCATCAAAAGTAGATGGAGAAGGAATGAGATTAATTCCTTAATGGTCAACGGGAAGACCCTGCATGAAGTTGAAGAGCTGAAACAAGGAGTGACTGAATATTTCAAGAATTTATTTACAGCAGAGGACTGGAAATGGCCAATTCTAGAGGGTATCCACTTTAACAAAATTTCTGAAATAGAAAAGGATCTCTTAACAGAATCGTTCCTTGAAGCAAAGGTCAAAGCAGCTGTTTGGAACTGTGATAATGATAAAGCCCCAGGTCCAGATGGTTTGAGCTTTGGTTTCTTGAAAGCAAAATGGGAAGTGGTAAAAAAGGATATAATGAAGTTTCTAGCGGACTTTCACATCAATAGTAAGCTGGTGAGGGGCTCCAATTCCTCTTTCTTGGTTTTGTTACCCAAAAAAGAGAACCCACAAAGACTTGAAGAGTACAGGCCCATTTCCCTGATAGGGTGCATGTACAAAATCCTTGCAAAAATCCTTGCCAACAGATTGAGTAAAGTGCTGGACGGGCTCATAGGTGAACAACAATCAGCATTCATAGGAGGGAGACAACTGGTTGATGGCATAGTCATTGCAAATGAGACGATAGATGAAATTAAAAAGAAAAAATTAAGTTGTTTTCTCTTCAAGGTCGACTTCGAGAAGGCTTATGACAATGTCAGCTGGGAGTTTCTGGATTACATGTTGGAAAGGATGAATTTTGGCTTGGTTTGGAGGAGATGGATTCGGGAATGTCTGCAAACAAACTCGGTATCGATTTTGCTTAATGGTAGCCCAACAAAAGAGTTTACAATGAGCAGGGGATTAAGACAAGGGGACCCCCTAGCTCATTTCCTCTTCCTTATTGTTGTAGAAGGGCTCAACGGTATCATTTCATCGGCAGTTGAGAAAGAATTTTTTGAAGGGGTCCTAATTGGAAGAGGAGATATAAGCATCTCCCATTTGCAGTTTGCAGATGACACA